TCTACTTCTCTGATTCTTCTGCCTCTTAAAAAAAACATTGCCAAATAGGTTATCCCCCAATAATGTAAAGCTTTCAAGCATTTCCACATTTGAAGTCTTGCCTCTTTCTGTGGGTACCTCAGAATATCCCAAGGACTTTAGCAGTATGATTAATAAAGCTTTGAAATGCAGGCATATTATTGGCCAAGAGATATTTTGGAGGTAAATAAGCAATTTTGGTTTTACATTCAAATGTGAATTTTCTTAGAACCGATTTGTTTCCATGAACTTACTTTTGCTCCTTAAATTTGGCTTTTATATATACTTACCCTTTGAGTATAAGGGTATATATATATACCCTTATACATATATATATGTGTATGTATATCTATACATACTACATAAGTAATCCTACTAATTTGAATCCCACCATTTGTTTTGCAGCTTGTTTGTTGGAACTGCACTTCGGATGTCACTAGGATGAGGCCCTTCTTTGGATATGAGAATTCATTGACTCCAAAGCAAAAAGGAGCACCTAGAATAGTAAACAGCTTCTGGGTCTAGACAAGAAACCCAGGTTCAAGCTGGATGCCAAATAGGAGGCTAGTGGCCAGTTTTGGATGAAGCTTTCTCGCTGTTTCCTTTTAGCCCTGGTCCACCTTGAAAAATTAAAGATTTACTGGAAAGCCATTCCTTACAGAGCCCTGTTAGTAATGGTCATACAAACAGAATGGCAGATTCCAAATCTAATGACCTGTTTTTGTTTGTGAAAATTAACAGGAGTTCATCATGGATCTCCTTGTTGCACTTAACATCCAAATATTATGTGTACTTTAAGGTCACATGTTACATTACAAAATGCCCAGTGAGACATAACCGTAAATAAGGTGGAATTTTTACTATTTCTTGTAATAGTTCAACTAGGGAAAATTGGTTTCTTAATGTGACAAAATTTTACACACACTATGGCCACCTCCATCTTTATATTAATATAAATTTGCCTCATAGGATATTATGATGGCTCTTTAGATCTGTCCTCTTCAGGGCAGGCTCTGTCACACTTTCACACAGCTTCACAGCAAGAGTGATATGTAAGGAGTTTTCCCATCTTCAGCAAACCACATAAAATCCAAGGCAAAATCCAGCCACTCCACACACATAAGCATATTACTACTACTTCATTGCAGTGCTAAGCCCTGCTGGTAAAGACAGCAGAGAGGAGCAGACTTTCAAGGGAGCCACAGCACAGAGTGACAGACACCGGTCTTTCCAAAAGCCAGCTTTTTCTATACAATGACCGGTCCCCCTCAAAACCTAGATTCCTTACATGTTTAAAACCCAAGTGAGCACTTGCGATGTTACTTCTGTAAAATAAGGAAGTCAACAGAGAGCACAGAGAATGCCATAGGCAAATAATTTATCAAAACCATGGTAAGAATAAACTTTGAAGTAGACTATCAAACATCTACAGATACCCCAGAAAAATGGCTCATAATTTCTTTCTTTAATGACTGAATCCAGCTCATCATTTTATACTTCTTCTGTTATACCTGGTGACAGCACAGGCACTTTGAAGGGAAAGGGAAGTGAGTTGAAGCTTCTTTATTTGGTTTAAGTGTAGTGGTGCCATCAATATTTGCAGAGAAAAGAAAAAAAAAAAAAATCAAAGTTTGGATACTGGCTGACCGGAATGATTGCGGTTCACTTTCAACTCAAACTTGTACATCTGTGTTAGCTTCTTATAGTATACTATTATTAAGCATTCATTTTAAAGTTTTATGGTATTCTGCTTAGGTAATGATCAGAAAAAAAAGAGTGGACCATGTAAAACTCACTTATTACTGTAATAACAATTATTACTACTATTTGGACTGAGGGATAAGAATATGAAACACTCATCTATATAGCTATCCTGAATGTATACTGAGTCCATCGATACCGTTAAGTTCAGCAAGCTGACTAACAGAAAGTTCCCAAGCAAGACATGATGATAACATTTCATGTAACTCCTCTTTGGCAATACTTAGACACTGCAATTAAATACCAAACAGTATCATGTGTGCCAGTCAGTTACTGCAAGAAAGAAAATGTGATGAACTGTTTGTTTTGAACTATTAGTATAAACATATTGCAGAAATGAAGCCCAAGCTTAAACAATGGGGAAAGTTATCCGGTATTAAAATAAACAGTTCTAGGAAAACCTCTAAAAATGTTTACCAAGTCATCTTCTTCCGAGTAGTTTCTGCGCAGAGCATTTTGCAGTGTCCCTGGTTTGCCAACCAATCCCAGTTACGCTGACTATAGATATGCAAATGTTAATGGACAAGGCTGGGACTTAATTGCCTGTAATTGGCTCCCCGAGCAAGCGCATTTTTATCTATAATCAAGCTTGTAGGTCATCAAAGAAGCACTTTTGGTTTTAAGCATTAAAAAATTGCTTTTTTTTAAAAAAAAGAATACTTGTTTTGCTTCTAGAAATCTGCTAGTTTAGATATCAAGGAAAAACATTTTTAAATTAAAATACTACAGATTTAAGCAAACCATGATTCTTACAAACTTTCTTAATAAATACTCTTTCAATATTGCAGGCTAGCATTTGTGCTGAGAAAATAATTCACCCTGCTAAACATTGTCTATGTACAATTTTAATGAAAGTTATATATATTACCTGAAGTAATAAACATACTTCCTTTATGTAAGTCAGAATATATCTCAAATTCTTAAACAGTATTTCTTATTATAACTATTCACTTCCAGTCTTAGACCTATAACCATTAATTATTCTTTACTTTGCTCACAGCAGGTGCATTGCAAAATGCTGTTTAGTGTAGCAGCAGCTATATCTGATATTAAAAATCTAGCTGGAAAAATAAATGCGATGCGAGATATCTACATAATATATTCATTACATTTAAGCACTATGCATGTTTTGAAATGAAATGAGTTATGGCTGAGATGCTTTGTAATGGCAACAGCAACAAAGCAAATTCAGTATTCAGAGATGCTATAATGGAGCTGCATCAGCCTCATTTGTTCAGAGTGAGCCGTACTCCATCACATATAGAAATGGGTCCTTTCATTCCAGGGAAAACTGACACATGGGGATCCGTGCACAATCCCAGTTTTGTGTAAACCCCTGGGAGCAGAGGGTTGGGGGCTGGGAAGGAAAGGAGGAGGGGGATGGTTCTGCCCATAACCAGTTTTACGATCACTACAGAAGAAAACAGTCCTCAAATACAAACTCCTTTCATTGGGCTTCCTACCTGTTTAATCACTTCCCTCCAAAGTGCGGGAGGACTAACCCTAACTCAGACATTCACACTCCAGAGACTCATATTTCTTCATGTTCAGTTCACAGTGAAACAGTGATCTTAGTTCAGTCTCTAGTGGACAAACACAGAATAAGTAAAGTCTTACAAGCATGATTCAGCAGGCAATTTGCTCAAGTAAAATCATGTGTGCATAAACACAGATAACAACTTTCCTCTTTTTAGTGCTTGCCTCAGCCTCCCAAGGTACAGTAAAATAATTTCTTAAGAAATGCTTTCCTCTATAAAAGACATCCCCTCATTTCCAGCCCTATATTCCCCAAAGCAGACCAAGATATTAAAAAATGCGGAAAGTAGTCTAAAAAAGAAATGCTTGGTTATATTTTGTTTTATAGTCACACGTTTACTGGACAGAGTCTTTTCTCTCTTGCTAGAGCCAGATATGCAAAGAGCACAATTAATTCACCAAAAGATCAGGAAATCCTCTCTAAAGATTTTAGCAGGGTTAGAGGGATGGGGGTGGCTGTATATGCTTTTTAACATATTTCTGTCTTGTATACTGTCTGGATGAAACAAAACTTGTAAATGAGATAGGTAACAGTAACTATGCTAATATGGAATTTTAGCCCACCTAGTAGCGCCTTCACTAGATTTTTGTTGATGTTCATTCTTAGTATGAACTTGTGTTAGAGTTAAATCATGTATCTCTCAAATGAGTACATACAGCAGTTTTCTTGTGCCATCTTACATGAGTAGTTGCATCACTCAATTGCTCAATTTTCTAAGTTTTGCCAGGTCATAATGCCAGTGTGAGAATGGGAATATTACAAGTAACTATATACAAAGACTGTTTGCTTATTTATTTTTACTGGTCAGCTATCCCAAGGCATTTTCATTACCAAGACATGGACAAGATCCTGCAAGGTATGTAATTTTACACAAGTGAGTAATCCCATAGAGGTGAATGGGACTGCTCATATGAGTGAAATTATTCACATATTTAAGTCTTCTCAGGCCCAAACTTCAGCTCATACATAAAATACTGAAAAGTTCACTAGAAGTTTAGAGCTATTGCACAAATTCTTAAAAATAATTACTTTTGCTAAGTTACTGCAACACCTTCAAACCCATTTTTCCTTCCTATGAAAGAATGCACATACACACACACAAATTAAAACAGGCTGTGTCAAGTCCAGTGTAATCTATGCAGTTAAAAAGTTTTACTGCGATGTTTTAGGAGTGTGAATGCCTATATACTTTCTTCTTTCTTTCCAGCAATTAGCTGGGTAGAATAGTATTACAGGATCTGTTTATGGAGAAACAATGATATTCTTAACCCAGTGCCTTTAAATGCTGATTTTTTTTAAATGCTCCCTTTTGCTGTCAGAGTAGCAGGTATCCTCTATGGCATCTGTTCTGAAGCTGTGAACTATAAGTAGAGTTTAGAGGAATACTTAGTAAGTTCTGTCATTAGAGTCTCTGGAGGATTTTTGTGTTCTCTGGCTCACAAACATGTCTCTTGAGATAAAGCTTTAAGAAGTTGCATCTTTCAGTAACGTGAAGAAAATTCTGCTCCCAAGAGCAACGTCAGTAAGAAGGGTGCGCTCTGGCTGAAACATTTCTCCCCTACACAGCCACGAACTAGATCAATCCTTATTACCTCAGTTCTCATAGAAACTAATGAAAACTTTGAACAGCATAAGCATCACCAAAAAATCCATTTAGTGTAAAATGAAAAGAAGAAACACTTACTTTTTGCAGCCACTGAGTGTAATTTTCCATCACATGTTCCAGATGTTGCAGTTTCTGGGAAGAGAAATCCTGTTCCACGTGAGGAGCATCTCTCTGAAGAGCATTTGTGTTGTACTGGTCTGTCGTGCTTTCACGACAGTTCCCATCCTGTTCTGGCAGAATGAAAGTATAGGTACACTGCCCATGCTGAATCCGGTTAAATCTTCTCCCACTGGCTTCTGGACCGCGACGCTGGTTATTACAGCCTATATGAGCAAGAATCGCTGCCAGGAAAGCAAAGGAAAGGAAAACTGACATGTTATTATTACTTTCCTTTCCTACTTTAAGAAAAACTTTTTCTTCCTCTTTCTTTAAATTTGTTCTTAATTTCCCTTAAAGTCTTTGGAAAAAGGACTGGAGAAGCACACTTTAGTAATCAAGCTTGGATAAACTGTTATTTTTTTTAATTTCACTATGAGGATAGCTTCCTTAGTTAAAATTGGGAATATTTATTGCATAGTAGTTAAGATTTATTGTTTCCTCTCTGTTACAGTCCAGCATGTAGCCTGCTTTAGTCAGCTGCATATGCATATCCCAGTCTCTTTCCCCTACACTATCTGCTGCAGAACTGCTATTTTCTCTCAGACTTCAGTGAGTTTTATTAAGGTTGCACTTTCAAGCCAAGCTGGAAGCAAGCAGCCTTTCACAAGATGACTTGACAGGAATGCGTGTATGAGTGCGCCCCTATGCTAAGGATGGCTGATGGCTCGGTACAGAGGGATCATCTTACAAACTGGCTGGATGCATGACCTCAATCATGCATGGCTTTCCAGCCCCTATTGCATACAACTGCTAAGGACTTTTGACGAATTCACGTAAGTTTAATAAGTAAGGCAGTCCACCTTAATACACTTCATATGTTCACACTGACCTATTAAAATGTAGATAAAGTGTAGAAGTTTGTTGTAATCCCTCTGTAAATATACAAAGCACTGAAATTAAAAACACTTTCAGTTCTGCGCTGCTCAGTATCTATTAAAGAATTCTAAGTCGGGCGAATGACACATGGGAAAATGTTACATTTAACCCTCACATGCTTTAGCTACTTTTCTAAGACAACTGTTTCTTTAGCAGAGTTTGCAGAGAGTTTTTTTACAGCATATAATGAAATTAAGGCTGCCGAATAGTAATGGGAAATGGCAGTTCAGAAGGATAATAATTTTCTATGTTTGGCGTCTAAACTAAGGTAACTACTTATAAAACAGTGAGGGATGGTGGCTGAACTATTCCAGATTGTCTTCTGTACTACTGCGTAGTTATCACATGCAAAACACTTCTTCCAATTTGCAAGTCTGTATGGGTTACACAGGCACCTCTCATTATATGTAGAAACTTTTTCGGGGGCAACTTCCTCAGAAAAAGATTGTGGTAACTATTAAAGAAACTATCTTATACTTAGATAATGCCTTTGGTATTTGCTAGAGACAAATCAAAAATGCACAGATTAGAAACAGGATTGGAATATTCCTGAAATTCATAGGAATTTGGATCTGAGTTCCTGCTCTAGTATTTGTTGTTGTTACATAAATATCAGCCAACACCTGTGCAGACTACTTTGTACAATTTTTCCCATGAAACTAAGTAGTCTCCTAAATAGCAATAGTGCATCACTAAAAGAAACAACCTGCAAGTTCTTTACCCACAACATAACCTACCTGCAAGAATACTGAATGCAAGCACCTTCAGCGCTTGTGCCATTGCCACCTGTATCACAACTACAATCTCATTCTAAAAGAACGGCCTGGAATGTTTAGCCAGGTATCTGACCTGCTCCTGAGGAAGCTATTCCTACTCAAAACTGGGGGTGGAGGCTTTTCACCTTGCATCTGGAAAGAAACCACTGCATTTGAACCAATAAGAAATACCCCGACAATAATACAGAGAAATGAGATGATAGTCTTATCTTGCTTTAAAATGTCTGTATGTCCAATATAGAGAGAGAGAAAAAAGGAAAGAATACAAAGCAAAAAGCAAAGCACCAATGCTACTGTTGCTTTTAGCAAAATCAGAATATCCTTCCACCTCTGAACTGTCCAGCCCACTGTTGCACTCTGTGTTTTCTTCTTCTGCCTCTGAAAACCAACTTCTTACAGCTTGCTTTCTTGCTTTCATATAGCATTTCTCATAATTCTCCACCATCACCAGGACTAGTTCTGCTGTGGTTTATTACAGTGTCTTTGCAATTCTTGTGAAATGTAATTGCAAGGTATTTGCTCATGAAAGATCAGAGATTCAGTCAGGAAGAAGACTGTAGGATCAGACACTGAGCTGCAGGGTTAGCATAAAAACAGCTATTCCCTATGAGGCAAAGCAAAAATACCAGAGCACAAACATGGTAACAATACATGCTTTTTTTAAAAGTAAAAAAAGATCTTTATGAAATGGCCTTAGAGCAGCTAAAAGGGGGCTAGCAAAGGTGGGTGTACAAAGGCTTCCTAGATTTTTAGTTCATATTTTAAAATGCTGTTGTTTACACAAATGCCTCATTCACTTTCTGCAGAGTATTTGACAGACTTATTCTCAGGTAAACATGGAAAAGTGAGATTGTAAACTTACAATTGACTTTTTTCAGATGAGAAAAGATTTCACAGAAGAGCAGGCTCACTTTGTTGCTATTGTATGGCCCCTTCCCACTGGCTTAAGGTGACTTCTCCTTCCCTTTCTGTCCCCCTCTTACTAGGGGCTAACAGCCGTAAGGACTTTCCAGAAGCGCACAAAGTTATCAGATATCTTTAACATTTGCTCATTTGTCTCCAGCCTAGCTCCCTGCCACAGCACCTGCCTCCCAAAGCCAGACTCATCCCTGACCCCAGGCCCCAAACTGATGGGTCACGGGCAGCACACAATGGTCAGGTGTCACAGTGGGGAGATGTGGCAGGGCCAAGCAGCAGCCAGAGCATCTCCTACCAGCAGACTGCACTAAAGGTTTCCTTACTAGAGAGAACCAAGTCCCCCTACTCACTCAGTGACCACGTACTGCCACATCTGTGTTGTGGGAGTAGCTCATCTGAGACATCTTGTGTGCCCGACCATGTGAGGTTTCATGCAGAGGCGAAGAAGGGATGGCAGGAACCTGGGGGAAGCCCAGGAGCCATTCTGTCACTCCCAGTTTGCAGCCTTTCTAATCCAAGGGGACCCATGAATTGTGCTGGGATGCACTTAGGTCTTCGCAAGGACCCAGAGTGACTGCTGAAATGGCAGCAGCTCTGTCAGCTACAGTGAAACTCAGCAAGCTTTGGGGCTGCCCTTGCTGATACCAGAGCCTGAGCTAGCCACCAGGGTCCCTAACTGGAACAACAGACACTCCCAATCCTGAGACACAGGCCAGCAAGGTCAGTTTGCTCTTCCCCCAAACACATAGCAAAATCGTTTTGACAAGGACGTTGAACCAGCCAGGCCAAGTTTAGTTTACACTCTACCCTGGCACACTCATGGTCCCATGCATACACAGGCAGAAGGGCAACAACAAATACAGAAAAAAGCTTGTTTCCAGATCTACTGCCACTTAATTCCACGGTGCAATTTTCTAAGAAATTCCATTTTATCTAAGGAAAACAGGTTTAGAAATAAGAAGAGTTTTTATTTTCTAAAATTCCCTGTTCCTATTAAGGTATTTGCTTTTTTCTTTCCAAAAACAAACCAACAACCAATCAACCAACCAAAATATCTTGCCTCAAGAGTTTCAATGGTTTGGTGTCTTCTACCTGATTTGATAAATGCACAGTTTATTACCCCAGTACCACATGATTTTTGTGACCTGTCCCAACTTTGTAAGACCTGAAAATTTCAGTGAGGTGAGGAAAAAAATACTTCTCAAAGTTCAGTCAAAGTCACTGTGGGTATTTCTGCAGGATCCTACATTATATACTAGAGATATAAGCTAAATGATTTGTCCAGAATTGCACAGAAAATCAGTGGCTCAGCCAGAAACTGAGTAGGGGCATGGATGTGTTTAAGACTCTTTGTTTTCCTAAGACCACTTCCTCCAACACAATGACTAGTTTCGTATTCCCTGACCTCTTCCTTCTGTGTAACAGGGAAAGGATGGATCCAGAGGCTTCCTTCCCAGACCACGCAAAATCTTATATATATTGTTGATTTAGTAGCTATACAAAATTCTGTAGCTCATTATGTAATCAATCCTACAAGGCAAAATAAATAGGAATTTAATATCTAGATAAAGGTTACATTACCATGATATCAGTTCCCACATATCTAGCATTAAAATTTAATGGCTTTTGTCACAAATCATATGCATGCTCAGAGTTCAAATCCAAATTCTAGGAAACCAAAATCTATTTCTGTTTCTTTACATTTCTGCTGCAATATGTGTTATTGCTGCAGATGAGTTGCAATAAGGTTGCATCATGTCACACACTGTAACTGGAGTTACTCCAACTCAACTTCCTCAGTGTATAAGGGAAGTCACTGCAGAATGCCTCCTAAGTGTAGGTATACGAACCAAGCTTTTATCTCTAGGTAAACCAATGCTATACAGTAGGACACAAAATGTTTATTCTTAATGTAGCACATTCCAAAGAACCTCATTCTAAATAAAAAATTCAAATGAATAAAATGAGATCTAAAGTTTCTCCAGTGACTTCAGTGGAGATGGTCCCAATTTACAATAGTGCTGAGACCCAATAGGATGCAGGATATTTGCCTGACCCTACAGAATCCAGACAGTATTGCGAGCAAATGATAAGGAAGACTCACCATGCAATGACACTTTTTGCTACTACCTGTATGCTTTCTTTTCTTACTCTCCTGGGAACAAGCAAGTAGTCATCTCAGATAAATTACTCCTCGGGACTGAAGTTTGTATATTTACATGGGCATATTTAAGGCATGATCCCATGTAGCGCTGCTTGCCAGGTCCTTCCTTCAAAGGAATATGTTGATGGGCGCCAAGTCATGCTGCAGCCCAGCCGGGCTCTCCCGGCATTTGATTTCCCACCTGGGAACAAGTAAACAGCTGGGAACATTAACAGAGTGGCAAAAAACAGCAGCTCTTAAAATAACATGGTGGTTTACCACAGAAACATCTGAGCTACTGGTTATGCCATACGACCTGTCTGAGTTTTGTCTCACACAGAGCCTGTGAGGCTCCTCCGGGAAAAGCTTTATCAGACTCTTTCCAAACATGTCGGCAGCTAAGAGAGCTAGGTGTTTTCTGAAAACTTATTCTCATGCTGTTGGGAACATGGGAAAATCAAGTTGTTCCTATATTCAGAACAAATCTGTGAGCTTACACATGT